ACTTACTTCTATAGAAATTTATGGTCGTTCCATATTATACATATACAGATCTAAATAAATTAGGGATACCAGTATCTGTTATATGATATGAAATGATACAAATATAACATGTTAGCACACTCTGTGTAAATTTTAAAAAATGCACTGACTGAAAAATGAAATGTGTTTATCAGTTATTATTTCTGCATGAAAAGATGCATGAATCCAAATTAGCCTATTTTTTTCTTTCTTTTTTTTTCTCCCACTTGATAAAAACATATGTAATTTGAGCACTCAAAAAGAGTCCTAATTGCTCATCTGAAAGGGACCATGATTGGATGCTTGAATTTCTTTATATAGAAATGACTCATAATATCTCCGCCTGAACGACAAACAATTTTCGATATCAAATGATGCCGTGTGCCACGTTGATTAGAAATAAGAATAGGTCCTGTTTCCCTGCGTGTGCACAAAACATGCACTCGCTCATATGTATCAGATAAGATATGTCCATAAAAATAAAAATCTTGATCGAATGTCGCCGACTTGCTGTGATCGCGCATACTAAACACAGGCAATCAAAATAACGTACTCTTTGTTTTTATTCAGACATTGTTGGCCCTTTTTAATGATGTGAAAAAACAGTGAAGTAAGCTTCTACAGACTTACAGTATGTTCTTACCCAGAATGAGAGCTGAAATGCTATAGGCAATTAAAAGACTCTTAAATTTCCTTGAAATTAAGTGCTAAATGAAACGTGGTCAGACTGACAAGTCTGCTCTCTTTCTCACTGAGCTTCTCTGTCTTCCTGCAGCCATTCATGCAGAGGGGAAAAAGGTATGCATGTCTCTTTTACCAAATCAAGAGTCAATGCATATAAGCCCTGTGGTGATTTTCCTTAATTATGCTTCAGGCTGATTTGCAAGGTGGATGACACAATGAGGACATGATGTCAGTCAAGTAATATCTCAGCATTTTCCTCGCTGCTAGTTCAGATTTACAGGCACTGTGTCTGTTATTGAGTGAGCATTTTCCTTGTATGAAGTAAGTCAGGAAAAAACACACATGGACTTAATCTTTTAGTGGTTCAGATTTTAAAGGCTTAAAGTCCAGCAACAGACTGTGGTAGCTGACCTCTGGGGAAACTAGGTCATGACCTCCTTGTCTGCAGAGCTGCACTGTGGACAATATACCATCACCTCTAATCTCTTCTGTTTCATAATGCATGGTTAAAGTTATATTCGCGACAGATGGAAAATTACCCATCATTCTTTTGTAAATGAATTATTAACATCTTACTTTATCTAATGTTTGTAAACTTAGATCAGGTTGTTGACACACTCGGGACACACTGCTGGTTCCCATGCCCTACTATAATAATCCAGGTTGGTGCAACCTGACAAAGGGGTCAAAGGTCAGCACTCCTGGACAAACTGTTTCCCCTTAGGTTTTCCTCAGGTGACAGAGTTGCAAATAATAGTTAAACTCACAGCACCAGGGAAAGTAATTGTTTATATTCCTACTCCTTTCTTTTAAAAGAAGAGTAATGACACAGGTCCATTAACAATTTATGAAATGATTCTCAGTAAACTAACAACCTTTTGAATGTATCCCTTAGCCCTGAGATGAATTTAACTGGACGTGCCCTGAAGGCATTCATGAATTTGCTGTTATTTATTATGGAGTGATGGCAAGGCAGGTATGGGAGTAGGTAATGTGTTCTTTGGAAGAAGCTGTATATACTGTAAGGTTTATTTAATGCTCATAAATGACAGAATAATCCTTCCTGGTTAATGTAGGGGAAGTTTTTTTAATATTGTTTGTGTCAATAACATGGATACATATCTTAACAAATCTACCATTAGGTACGTAGTTTTCATGAACAAAACTAACTAGTACAAGTAAAGCATGCACTACTCTGGGTTTGTCATATATACACAAGTTCATATGAAACCAAAACCAGAACAATCTTTCCTACACAAAATGGCATGTAGGTCATTCCTTGTTATTTCAGTTTCCTTATATCTAAATGATTAAAAAAAAAAAATCCAACAACCTCAAATTAACTTTTTTAAAAGAAAAAAAAAAGAAAAAAAAGAAATTAGAAGTCATGCTCTCATGTGGTATAATTCATTCAGCTGCATGCAAATGAATGTTTATTTCTAATCTTATTACATAAAAGAATTATAATAATTTAAATTCCCCTGAAAAATACATTTAGTCACACGGGCAAAGTGCTAATGTGCTGCTTTATTTAAAATAAGGTGAAGGGCTACCTGCTAAGAAACGTGTGAGTTTATATCATGTAAATTTATTTTAGATTCAATGCAAAATAATCACTGGAAAAAATTTTTTAAACACACTTCTTTTAGATCACCTACATTTACCCCCACGCGGCTTTCTGTGTGACAAAAACATTGTGCAATTTCCTTCTTTTGTGTGTCGCTTTATGTAGCAGTTATAAGCAAGTCAATGTAAAAAATAAACTAATAATGATAAAAAATGAGATAATTCAATAATACTAAAAAGCTGGTTAAGAATCAGAATGTAATAAGTAACAACAGATAGATTACTTGGTTTGCTAACACAATGAGGCTGAAGAGGTGAAAAAACACACACTGTATAACCATTACCATAACTTTTTTGTGCCTTTTATTCCAGCTTTACCTCTGACTTACTACCTAATTACTATACTGCCTGCTTCTTTATATATTATTTTCTTGTTAGTGCATATCGCAACTATTTATTTTCCTCTTTGCCACGTTTTGTTGCACTCTGCTAAGAGTTTTGTAACTGAAATTAGTCAGCAGCTGTGTATGCATGATTGTTGACAGAGAAGCTAGATTGCCAAATTCCAGATAAATTGCATATTGTTCGACTCTGTGACTTTGTTTATGAATTCTAATTTTAATTAGTAGAGGCTATCACTGACACGTGTAGCTTCACTTTACTGTATGTTTTACACTAATTTTGAAACTCCTTTAACAATGCATGAACCCGCTTAGATGTTTAAAATGGATATGATACTTTCGAAACTGTGAAAAGTCTGATGCAGAAGGGGGGAGGGAGGGTATTCAGCAACTGCTCAAAGTGAGAACAAAGAGAACAATTTCAAATTTGAAGTTATCTTGTCCCAAGTTGAAATCTTGTCACAGTCTCCTTGAGAATAAACTGATATTGAGCATAGCTACATATTGAGTCCTAGCCACTATAAATATTACACAGGTTCACTTTCCCCTGCCCAAGCTGGGTCTGAACAGTTCTTTCAGTAAAGAAGTAGCTCAGAAAGGTGTAACACAGCTAAAGCGTGACTTTGCAAAGACACTGTTCTTTTTCATAACGGCAACTTTGTAAGTCATATTTTAATGACTTCAAGTGTTGGAGGCTTGCCTGAATATTTTCTACAGTAACTTGGAAACAGGTTTTCAGCATCCACATTTTTTGGCTATTTAGCTGTCCAAGGTCACTGAAATATCACGCGCTGAATCTGTTTTGAGATGATTTTCAGTTTAAATTAGCACGGTCCTCAGCAGTTCTTTTGTTGTTCCACGCTTTACCCAAATCAGGCATCATTTCTGCAGAATGAACCGAAAGCCAAATTATCTTATCTACCTTTCATCTTCCAAATTTTTTCATCTGCATCACATTTTATTTGAGATTAAAGTAGGGCTGTGTCTTTGTGCAGCACTAATTGCCATAGAGCTTCGGTAATTAAAGGACAATAAAGCCTTAGTAGTAATTAGTTTCTCTTGTTTGGTTGCTAGCCCATCAATTGTGCTTCAATAATACTGATCATTAGCATGCGCCTGGGCAGTGAGGGATGCTGGGAAAGGAGCCCTGCACACACAGCACTCCACATTCCATTCCCATGAAGCCATGGCACAGAGCCATGTGGTTAACCCTTTGTGTGCCGGGCCGTGGCAGGACGTGCCTACCAGTGTAGGGCCCTCACTGTTAAATAAAGAGGTTGCACTGCAGCATAATAGACCTGCTGGAATAATGACCGGCTTTTTGAATTTCAGAAGGTTGGGAACATAAGAACTGCAGCAGTGGGCAGATGCTGCTGTCACGGTTTGTGTGAAAACAATTACACCCTTCCTCTGTGTTACATGCGCCCTTATTCACATGCAGGTTCACCTAATGAAAGCCTGTCTGCAGCACTATAAAGACTGATAAAGAGTCCAGATTATCACTGTTTTAATGCAGATGCATCCCAAAAAGGATCAAATTAGGTATCTTTAAAGTGAACAGCAAAGCAAGAGGACTGAAGAACATTTCTGTGCAGGCACGGTGTATGGATTGTGCTGTAAACTGTGGCATAGTAATAACGCCAGGCAGCAGAAAATGTGCTCTGTTCTGTACTTTGCCTTGACATGATTGAAAGACAATGGTCCCATGGATAGGCCATTTCAACATCAAATGTGCATGCACATCACAGGGCAAGGGTGTGCTATCCATCACATTCAGTGAGCTGTCAGATACAGCTCTCACAAGCCTAGCTAGTCTCCATACACATTTGCAACTGTGTGGCAATACAAGATTAAACCTCCTTGTACTTATTCCACTCTCAGCACTCCATATCTTATACAACTACAAGGCAGCATCTTTGTATTGCATTGTTGTCTACTTTTTAATGTTTCTGGGTATATTTTTGCAAAACACTATATAGATAAACATTTTAATCCCTGTTTCAACACCGAAAACTGTATAAAACTTTAATAAAAAACGAATACAGTAAATCAGAAGATGGGCATACATGTACATTCGTACTGCTTCGGAGGGTGATGGGTCTTTATATAGGCTATAATGGAGGCTATAATGGAGTGATCGCAGCATATATATATATATATATATATATATAAGTTGCTCAAGGAGCTTTACAATGTCTAAAGCAGATGAAAAATGAAAATACACAAAAAACATGATCGAACTACAGAAAGACTGTGCAATCTCCTCCCTTCCGCCTTGGCACAATAACCCAAATGGAAGCCTTTATGAAGCTCTGATGGAAGCAGAGTGCGCTTTATAATGCACGTTCGTGCACACTACTACATTTCCAGCTAATCAGAAGCGCGCAGTTGCAGAAAGGAGAGCGGTTGCCAAGGCAGCCACCAATCTCCCCTCCCCCTTCTCCCTCCGTTCCTCTTTCCCGTTTATTATCGGCAGAGGTCGCATGGCAGAGGGAAGTCCAACCACTTCTGTACTGGAACCAATGCAAGAATATGCACCTCCATAACAAAGCCTGTATGGAGTCCTGAGAGCGGCGGGACAGGACAGGCTGCAGGTTTTCGGGCTGCTGTTCAGCTTTTAGAAATACCCAGTAAGACAGGATCTAAGTTGGATGTTTGCATTGTTTTGCCAGCACGTGTGTTATCTGTGAATTTGTACTCTCGCTTTTGAGTGAGTGACTGAGTGAGTGAGTGAGTGTTTCGCATCCCGGCGCGGGGCTCTGAGGAGGACTGCGCATCACTTAGAGTTGGTGCCGAAGTTCGGCCGCGAACGGATAGGAGGGAAGAGTGCGCCGAGTAAAACTCCCTCACTTCTTTTCGTCTCTCCCGCTTTGGCGCTGTGTTTGCCAGGACAATAGTACGTCAAAGACGCTGAAAGTGATTTCATGCCTTCAGTCTCGCACAGTCTGAGATGGACGTGAGATTTTATCCTGCGCCCCCGGCAAATGTGGGTTCATGCTCCCTACCGACTGATCCAAGTTGCCTGAGCTCGTTGGACTATTATCACACGAACAAGGTAAATAACTATTTGTGTAGTCTCGTGCACTGAAACGATGTCTCACCTGTCTGTCTGCACGTTCACGCAATAAAAATGTGTGTTTTGGAGGCGTTTTATACAGAGGCGCCCACTTGCTCCGAACGCACCTGGGTCAGGGTGCACTGGTTTTAATCTAGTGCGGAGCAAGACTGTCACAATTTATATTACTTACTTTAGAGTTAAACTTGTAATCTTTTCTGTTTTCGTGGGGTTTTTTTTATGTGCGGCACAACTTTTCTTTTTTCTTTTGCAAGCATGTTTATTATGTTGTTTTCTCGGTGAAACTGCAGTTGAATTTTGCGCAAAGCTAACATTAAGTGTCCCACCCGATGTGGAATACCAGGGACTGTATAGAATCCATACTGCCCCGCTCTGCTCTCTGAATCCAACATTATCTTCCCTCTCAATGATTTCTTATGGCTTACATGGTTTTTCCGCTGGGAGTTCAGCGATTAAATGGATCCGTGCCAGTAATGTACCGTTAATTACTTTGCAACGAGAAACCACAGTCTGGCTTGTACAAGTATCCCTCTTCTCTCCTTCAGTTTTGACACCCGCGCCTTTAGCCTTGTGAACTGCACTGACCCGAGTGAGGGAGCAGGTGGCATTTAAAACAACATTATGAATATTTTGCTGTTTGACATTTTCCAAAACTACGAAGCAGAGAAATAAATCAGCCCATGAAAGAAAGACTTAGCAGTGTAAAAACAACAACAAAAAAAGACTAAACAAAAAAACAAACAAATCCAGAAGCTGGAAAAACACTAGAACTCCAAATCTATTCAACTGAAAAGCTGCCATGAGAGATAAAAACACCACAAAGGAAGAAGAGATTACAGGTGACGTACTAATAAGTACCGCAAAGTGAATGTATGGCCCGTGGAAGTACTAGCAAAACAATTTTTAAACTGCCTAATTTACAGCTTCCACTAGTGTTAACAGCATCTCGGCCATCTGCAATCACTGAATAAGAGTTTGTTGTTTTCACTCACCGTGCTTGGAATATTACAAATCACCAGGCTCAGGATGCTGACCTGCTGCTGTATACTTCTTATAAGGCAACGGTGCTTTGGAGCTCTTTGGCTTTCTCAAATAAAACACGGCTTTCAGGTATGACAATGAGGGAAATCATGCAAAAGACAGTTGGGGATGTTTTACTTTCACTGTGTGGGCAATGGAAAATCTTTGTAACTGACAGGGACATTCCAGTAATCAAGTGTAGATACATAGATACAAAAAATAAACAAAAAAAGCACAACAGTAATCTTTGTTAAGGTTTGATCACACAACGCCCAAGTGTCAAAGACAGATAAAGCGAACTGGACTTGGTTTTTATAAGCGCCTCCCATTTGATCACAAATAAGGTCCATATAAAGCTTTTATCGATACACCTGTGACACAAAAATGGGCCCATATAACTGTCTCCTCTGCGCAGGCTATCTTTTTTTGTAGGTCAAATGAATTGAGATCATCCACCATGCGGATAATCCTAAGAATATGCTGATATCCAGGCACTGCATGAATCTCGGAAACAAAGCCAGTAGATATTAAACGATATAAAGAGCTTTCGCAGAGGAGAAACCAACTATTGTCACTTAGACATAAAGTGTGGTGGCCCTCGAAAATACAAGTGTTCATTTGAATTATTGAAATCCCCCTCACTGCCTTTACTTGAGTTTCTTTCCACCAGGGGAGGAATAATTTGTTATCATCACATGTGTAACACTAACTACCTTCACTAGCAATGCAAATGAGGCAGGCCCCAGCAGGGATCATTTGGTGTCCTGTTGACACAGTGCACAAGGTCAAGTTCCTTTCCTCAAGCACTTGTCAAAGCGACTGCGGCATAAAACAGACATCAGATTTGTTGTGTAGGTACTTTATCTACAGATCACATCGCCTGCTGCTAACCATCTCTGACAAAATTGGTTGGCCAGTTTCAAATCCCATCCCGTGTCTCTTTCTTAAACTACGCACAGAGCCAAAAAAAAAGGCTAATCATAGCATTGAGGTCAATTGTTTTGAAGGGCTTACTTTGCATATTCACGCGGGTATTTTGGTTTGTAGTTGAATTTGTTGGTGGATTTGTTGGCTTTCAGTTTAGCTCAAATATATTCAGTTGGGATTATTATTATTGGAAAAGATTCAAAATAATTTGAATAAAAAGAAACACCAGATGCGATTTAGCATTATTTTTCTATGGCTGCTTTTTTTCCCTTTTTTTTTTTTAAAAGCAATTTACAGTCTGAGAAAACATTTCTCCTTTTATCGCTGTGAAATTAATGGTGTTAATCTGAGTCACGCACGAGTTTAATTGGATAAAATGAGCATGTGTTTGTATTTTAGCTGTTTATTTGCAAACCTCTTTTTTTGTGTGCTGCTGTTGCTGCTGACTCAATTTGGATACTGTGTGCGGACACAAGCTGAGTTTGAGTAATTAGCAACTTTCTGTGACTTCCAGGGCACACGTGCTCCTGTCATGCTTTCGACCTTTGTGATGTTGCTCATTTGGAGCCGTCGTTGGTTTCATTCATGTTTCGGTGCATGTTCTAGGTCAGGTGTTTCTTAGTCTTTCTGTAACATCTTCCAATATGACAGTGCATAAATCACTTCTGTTAAATTGGCAGTGTTGTCCGCATTTTGCAGGTAGGAAAAGTTTTCCAAGGTTTTGGAGCAGTGGTTTGTCTTTAGTTATCCATTAAAAAACATGAATCATCTGCTAACCAAATCAGTTTGTGGTAAGGCTGTGTTTACTGATCCATTGTTCAGTGGAAAAAAACAGAGGGTATAAAAGCAAAAAAAAATGCACCGAGAAGGTACTTTAAGTGCAGATTGAGGTGATTCACAAAGGTCTATAAATAACCTTGAAGATATCTAGCTCAGTACTTTCAATACTCCCTTTATTTCACTGTGAGAGTCTGTGTTATTACTGGGGTGAACTCCCACAGCCAGGGAGAAATCACACAAAATAATACCATTACAAAAGCTTTGTGCTCTGATGGTGATATGAAACTGTACCGTGTTTTTAATGCTGTCAGCTTCCTGACAGACTGCAAGGCACAGACATTACTCATATATGCTGTGCACAAATTTGCAGTGTAGTAAGCACCGAAAGTAAACAGATACATCTTGTCGTATACAACATGTCCAACTGTAATTGTACTGCGGCTATTCGTTTGTCCAGCACTTTTGGTTTGCTCTGTGAAATGGGAACACAGTGTCTGCTCCTTTATTTGAATACCTTAATCAAACATTGCTGACTGCTGCTGCTTCTGCTGCCGCTGCTGCTGCTGTAGCTGGAGTGAGGTGCTGCCTACAATATAGCAATAGAGTGCAGAGATAGTAAGGCCTGTGTTTATACACTCAGGCCCCACCCAGCTCATATATCCTCCCAACAACTGATATCTGGTTAGATAGAGCAGAACTGAAGAGCAGGCTTTGTTAGTTGGTGGTCTCCCCTGCCTCAGATAAGCTGGGGAATGATGCGCTCCATTTGAATGCCTTATCTCAGTTTTATTTTTTATTATAGGACTACCTTGTCTGTGCTGTGCAAAGGTTTGATTACTTTGCATTAACATAGTCAGCGAGCTTCCATCAACTGATCATCCTCAACTGAAACAAGCTCTTGAATAAACACTGTTCATGAATTTACAGTTCATTTTGCCTCAATCTACTGGGGGCTATTTTTAATAACTTAAGTACTTAAAGATGGCTGACAAATTAGCCAGTGCCTGTAATGCTGGCTGTAGTGCCTGCTCATGTTGAGCAGTGTTTTCACTGTTGTAATAAACTCTGTGGTATGTGACAGAGAGGCAGAAAGGGAGAATCAAAGGATGAGCGTGAGTCAAATGGGTTGAAGTAATCAGTGGCCCAGTGTGGGGACACTGTGAGTGTGTGTGTGTGTGTGTGTGTGTGCCCGTGCATGCTAACTCGGGGCCATTCAAGCGTTTTGCTGACTACAGAATCACAATCACAATTGCTTTCATAGCCCTGTGCAGAGGAAGGCCATGCATACCACAGTAAGGGCCGGTGACACACAGCGAACAGGGGCAGAGCAAAAACAGCTACTAAATCATATTCTCCCTGCCCCGACACACAGAGGAGGTTTTAATAGGGATTCCAACCATCTGAAATCATTTCAATAAAACTGGAATTGGCTCTGACAGTGGCTGAGTCACAGGACCCAGAGTATGGCACAGATATTTCTTGCCATATGATCTTTTTGTTTCATAAGCGACTTTGCTGGACAAGTCTTCTTCCCAAATAAACGCAAGATGCCTGCATCGGTTGTTTTCTGCTTTTTTTGCCAGCTGTGTTTTGGATGGATTTTGACAGATTAAGGAAATGAGACACACGATGATACACGGCTTTAAAATGCCGCATGTTTCTTGGTTTGGCCCTTAAAATGTAGTCGTTGTGTTTGATCTAGGTTATGAGTGTCACAGTATGATTGTGTGAGTGGTGAGGGTGGGGGTGGGGGGGTTCCCTGTGCTAATTATTGGCAATGGCAGCAATAAGCTACTTTCTCGTTGGTGGGCACCAGTGCATCCCCCTCAGCGTCTGTTACAATAATTAAGACCAGCCGCCCCACTGCAGTGTGCTTACATTTGTCTGCCCGGGCCTTCCCATGGGGCAATGCGATGGCATTCTTATTCTTATTCTTATGGCAGAAGAAGGAGAAAGAAAAAGAAACAGAGCCAGCACCTGCTGCAGAGTAGGCCCCTGGGTGTTTAGTTAAATGTTGATTATGTTTGTTAATGGCTGAAAACACATTTAGAAGATGCGTAGGGTGGGGGAGTGCTCTATTTGTCTATCTGTATTGGTGACAGAGTTCATTGTGGGTTTATATTTAATAAACTTGCAGCTGTTTCAGCTGGAAAAGCTACACTGAAAAAAATGTAAAGGAGTGCAAAAATGTGCCTTGAAATGATTAAAGACTTACGTATTTAATCAGTTAAGTCGTGCATCCAGAAAACAAT